CGGGTACTTGTAGCCGACTCAAGGTTTCTACTGTAATTCTAAACCTATCCGGTAGATGAGAACGATTATTAACTTGTCAATCACGCCCCAATTCAAACCGGTAAATTATATCGTCTGTCTCTTTTCTCTTACAAACATCCAACTGTTAGGACGTGTTTTTGTGAAGTGGTCTCTATAAGGAGGTAAGCCAAAGAAAAAGGGCCTTTTTTGTATATATTTTCAGATAAATAATTATTTTTGAACCTTTTACCGGTGAGGATAAAAGATCATTGATTATGTTTATTTGGCTCGAAGTTAACTCAGAAGTCATATGCTGTCGTAAACGCAGCCCAATATTTCATTGAATGATTTAGATTGATGATCTAAATGGACCCCTAATAAATAATTTAACGAAATGCTTGGAGGGTGAGAGGAAACAGAGTATATCCTTTTTTGTATGGTTGCCAGCTATTGGATGATTAAGGTTGTACCATTCTTTTTTTATTATATCCTATCGAAAAAGCGAGAAATAATTATGGACTCAGAGAAAGAAAATATAGCAGTGTTTTAATTTTGTTTAAAGATTTAACGTTTCTATTATGCCTAGTTAATAAATAACTACTATAATATTTTAAATGTAAACGAATTTCGAAATTTGGAAATAATATATAAATTCATTTGTTTTTATCAACCAATTCTTGATTTAATACGATATAAAGTTGTTTTGTTTATAGTAATGTAATTATGAAAAAATGGTATTTTAGTATCCTTTGGATATAACATAACTTTTAATGTTTCTTTTTATTACTGAGAAATAATAAAATGTAATTTCGCTGTAAACTTTCTATATATCATATTTTTTTATTCTCTTTCGACCCCTTCGAGGATAAACAGGGGGTGGCGTCCAATATTAAATTATAATTTCAGATTATGTGATTGTGTTTGGATTTTTGAGATATTATGTAATTTCTATACACTTGACCGTACCCCGCCATTCCTCTCCGATATTGAGCGATTATGGCCTTCAATTTTATTTGTGTGCTGGATGTTTATTACGCATCGACGCCACAGCACCAGGAGAAGATAGAGTCGTAATAGAAGTTAATGGAGGACGTGCCATTCTCAACCAAATAAAAATTGTGTTTAGCTTTTGTTTAACAGATTGTTGCATACCGGAAATGTGGAAAAATGCAGAAACAATTTTAGTATACAAGAAAGGAGACAAGGCACACCTAGAAAACTATAAACCAATCAGCTTATTGAATCACATCTATAAAATCTTTACCTGAATAATTACGACCATATTAGAAACACAGTTGGATTTCTACCAGCCCCGAGAACAAGCTGGATTCCGCTCAAAATTCGTAAAAACCATCACCTTCAAACAGTAAAAACCTTAATAGAAAAATCGATAGAATATAACAGATCACTGGTGCTTATCTTCTATTAGACAGCTTTATAACTGCTCTGAACAATCTTAGAATTGACTACCGGCTTACAAAGTATCAAAACGCCACAATGCGTGTAAAACCACATGATAAAACCAGAGAAATTCATAAAAAGCAAGGTGTGAGAGAGATATAGGAAAATAGAGGAATAAAAATAGACGGGGAAATGCTCAATCATCTGTGTTTTGCCGACCATATAGTACTTATTACCAAAGAACTGCGTGAAGCACAACAAATGTTAGTTACACGAATTAGAAAACGTATCTTCGAAACGAAAAGACCAAATTTATGACAAATTTGGTTCCTAGCGAACACTTAACCATCCAAAATCAAGTGGTAGATTTGACAAAAAAAGTACATTTATCGCGGTCATGAAATCAGAATAAGCAAAGATAATCAGACCTGTTAATTTCAACGACGAATAACACTTGCTCGGGAGGCGTATGGTTCAATAAGAGACATCTTCAAGAGCAACATCCCGATAGCTATGAAACGGAAGAGATTTGACCAATGCGCTCTTCCTATTATGACGTACGGAACAGCAACTCTCACTCTCACAAAAACAACAGCACTTAAAATGCGAATGGCACAAAGGCGCATGGAAAGATTGATTCTCGGCGTGACAAAAAAAGACAAAATATGGAACCAAGACCTAAGGAGAAGAACAGGTATCACTGATGTCGTTGAACATATAGTCAAGCCGAAAAGAAATTGGGCAGGTCACATAGCGAGACTAAAAGACTCAAGATGGATCAGAAAACTAATTGACTGGCGCCCAGGAGAAGACAAACGCAGCAAAGGAAGACGACGAACACGCTGGATGGACGACATTAAACATACATCCAAGAAATGGCAACAAGACGCACAGAATCGTGAAGAGTGGCGAAAAGTGGGAGAGACCTATGTCTAGCAGAGGACAGAAGAGGTTAGACCATAATGATGATGATGAAATTGTATCGTACGAGCTTGTAGGATATCTAGTTAGCCTAGACGGGTTCCATTGCTAAAGAAAATATTGCGTTAGCAGAGCAACGAACAAGAACTTAAGAAGTATAACAGTTTCACGTCAAAATGTTAAATCAGAAATGCGCAATATGAAAATTTTTTGCATTCTTGCTTTTAGTAATTTTCTGAGGTTCTGTTATCATGCATCCGGATAAGATTCTCGTATATTTCTTTATTATATTAAATTCGCCAGATGTTATTTTCACTGATTAGGCCCAGCAACCTCCGTAATATTTTTCCTTTGAAAACGCCTAACGCATTGGCAGTTACAGTTTTATGGACATGTTATAGCTTTATTGGCTAATACACGTCTCCTTTTGATGTCAAATTCTTCTTTATTATTTCCGATTCCTAAGTTACGAGAATCTGTTCATGTGTCTATTTGATCTGGTTAGTACGAGTAATTTTGTCTTATTTATTATTATTGCTAGCTTTACAACTTTTGCATTTTATTTCAATTCAACGTAAGTTCTGGCCACCGTCAAACATATTTAAGTACAAGATTAAAAAGCGTTGGAGCCAGTCCGTCATCTTATTTGAGTCTTTGCGTTATCATAAACGCATCAGTCATCTGGCGTTTAATAGATACACGTTATTCTGTTTCTACCACTAGGGAGTTTTTGTAACTACCTAACGTAACGTATCTCCCTATACGTAAAGAACTAACGTATCGAAGAAGATGAACGTTAAATTGAGAGTTAAAGTTCTGCACGTAACGTAACGATGGTGTTGCCCTCATCGAATTAGGTAGGTGCCTTTATTGATGATGAAGAAGACGAGGACATAGAAAATGCGCTTCTTCTCCACATCTTGCACGACTATACGGCCGCTTTAATTTATACCATGTCTGATATACTACAATGTAAAAATCTTTTTCGCTTTTGGATTAAATTCCACCTTTCTGGATGATCGTAAGGGTTATGGCCTACGACATCCTTCGACAAAAACAAACTTTCATTGCTGGAGTGAAGTCGTTTTCTACTGCTTTCTCGTTGGCCCCTTACCTTTCCATCTATACCTTGCATGTTGTTGTACGTTGAGCCGTTTAGACGTTGCAAACTTAGTGTTCTTTTGGTAATGTGCCGCCATGTTTTTTTCTGTGCCTACGTATACAATACCCCACACATCACGATCTGACCAATAACAACGGAGATATGCTGTCGTGTCGTTTTGGCAATGCCACCATCTTTGTTTTTTGTCTCAACATATTCATCGTCCCCTCCCCTTTTCAACGAGCTGTCGTACGTCACGGTCAGGCGAGCTGTGTAGGCACTACAAGCTTAACATCCTTTTGGCAATGCTTTTTCTATCTCCATGGCCGCCATGTTTTTTTTTTTCTATCGCAACGTGTTCCCCGTCTCGTCCCCTTTCCAACGAGCCCTCGTACGTTATAATCGGACCAATAGAAACGAAGATACAATATTGGCATACTCCAATACGCACACATACACGGCACATACTGTTTCTTGTTTTTCCTTGTGTGTTTCTTGCGTGTTTCTTTTCCCTTGAATTCCATCTCTATTTGTAATATCCGTTGGTTTTTGTATTTTCTCTTTTTCTGCCTTACTTTGTGTTGGTTTTTGATATTTATTAAAAATATGTAATTGTAAAAAAAGAATGTAATTAAGACGTTTAAAATATAGTTAACTGAATTTCTCAAAAACATGCAAAAAAATTGTATTTATTTAGGATAGTCTCACAGACGACTTGTCAGTAATCGTGTTCCAATTCCATGGTTCCAATATTCATATGTCAGTACTTTAAGGGTTAACGTTTGTAAAAATCAACTCCAAATAACTTGCCCCTGTTTGTTGACTTCCAGGAATTTAAAATTGTTGAAATTATATCAAAACTAACAAAGTATAAGAGGCTGTACATAATTCACGTGGTACTATGGATAAACCTTATAAATTATGTAATATGCTTTAAACAAAAATTGTATTTTAACATCCCAGTCTGTCAGACAACATACGATATTATCTAATATGGGCATGTTAATAACATGTAAGGAAATGGCACGTTACACAATTTGGTACCTGTTATTCCAATGAAACATCAATAAACAACAACAACAGCGACACGGCTTACAAGTGCAACGAAGTATGTATGTAGGATCTAGACAGCTTGGCATGACTTGGTCTCTCATCTAAGGCATGGGCCGACCTTGACCTACTTATAACTTTCAGTTTATATAATACAATGCTGTTCATTTTTACGTTACCAGATAAAACACGGTTTCTTTATTATGTATGGTATTTTTAATGCAAAATATTTAGAAATCTGGAACGTACATATATTTTTGCTGTTTATTATGTTTGTATACAAATGTTTATTAAAGAAAAGAGAGAAATGAAGGGTTTTGCAATATATAAATAAGTATAAAAGGTTTGTGAAATGTTTGAATTTGTTAATAAATCACTTAAAAGATTATCTTTGATAGTAAGTCAATCGTTGGCATTATGTTCAATCTCGATAGCCTAACCATAAACTATTTTAATTAAATTTACAACGTAAAAAGACAAAAACTATGTAAAATTTTTGAACAGTGTCCGCAAACCGACAACATACCTTTTATATCAGCATATACCGTAATTCCAAGAAATGATTCATGCATAATAAGAAAGCATTTTTTTATGCCGTCGACTACGGAAGACACTTCGTGTGGGCGTTCCACTGAGATACGGAATGAGTCATTTAAAGAAAATCGATGTCTCATTTTAATTTTTATTCAGAAAACTTGTGCCAGGTGACGGCGGATGCAGGTTACATGCAAACACCAAGGAAATGGAAAAATAGAGCGACTGCATTCTATATTAATCAATTCTATGCTATGAAGACACCAGATATAAATTTAATAAATAATAAAAATAATAATAAAAAATTATGAATATACAACACTGTATATATATATATATATATATATATATATATATATATATATATATATATATATAATCATTTAAAAAAATAATGAAAAGAACTAGAAAGGCGCGTGAACCACTCTGGATGAGATATGAATGAATGCAGATTTAAAAAAAAAGGCCTAGAGGAAAATCTCCAAGCCGTTGCTAAATAAAAGCTCTTCTGTTGTGATGTGTTAATCATAAAAATTCTTTCACTGGCTTCTGTCATTTTCTTCGCCAATTTTTTAAAGTATTCCGTGCTCCTTGTCAGGATTACGGTGTAACGGTGTCAGGATGTTATTCAGTATGATCTAGTTAATTTTCACCTCATTATCTAGTCTCTGCTATCAATGTGAAACGGAGTATTGCTTCTCGGGTGCCTGTACCTGCACTTACGAAATTTGAACATAAATAAATAATAACTCATAGTCCCTCTATAAACAATTGTGATATTTTGGTTGATACGATTGTTTTCATTCTATTTAATATAATATATTATGAGTCAGTTAACTATTTCAAAGCATATTTCATCACTACTTAACAACTTGAAAAATACTTTTCACAAGAATTTGCACGTACAACTTGAGAACTGATCAGAATTGCTGGACAGAGTGGGTGGGAAGTTTTCATTGAATTTTAGTTTTCCAATCTGACAATACTTGCTTTAAAAACGTCAATATATATCACCATCGACTTGAGGCTCTATGATATGGTTTAGAGCACATTGTTGGTAGATACGCTGGGCTACACTGGATGTAACCAATTTATACACAGTTAAAAGACAAGTAATTGGGCGATAGTCTGTTGGATCTTTGGTGTTACTAATTTGATCCTTTGGTATTAAGTAAGTTGTTCTCTGAGTTAGGAATTAATTAATGCTGATAAGTAGTCATGAACATCCCAGAATTTCTTTAGCCAGAAGTTTTGAACTTGAATTGGTACTGTAGTGTTCACCATATCTTCGATCCATGCAGCGCAGATTTTAGAACCTGGTGTGGTAAGTTGATTTCCCCAAAACTTAAAATAAATGAATGAGAAACAGAAAAATAAATTTTTTCTTGGCTTGGGTAAGACTTATTGCCACTATCTACTATATTTTTTTATCCAGATTTAGCCATATGGCTCACACTCCCTCTAAGGGAAAAATTCACTCATCCCAGATACCTACGGTATCAAAAGAATTGAGTCTAATGAGACTTTTTCGTGTTATCGAGTCCTAGGTGACTTGGTATGTTGAAGAATCTCGTACACTCAAAAAAATTTTCGTACACATCTGTACGTCGCGAGGAGTACAGCTTTCTGCATGGTCTTATACGGATGCTCATTTAGACCCAGCTGTTTTATGTTCTCTAGGAGGTTTTTGGGAACAACAATAGTGTAGATAGAACAATATGTACTGTCTGGGTACTTTCCATTCTCCGTTGTCTCCTGATTTGTATTTCTGGATCTCTGTACTTGGCGAACTTTTCGTTGTATTTAACACGAAAATTATTAGTGTTAGTTATCGCCACATCAATAAGTGTTTTTTGCCTAGTAAGTTTATTAATGATCCAGTGTGAGCATAGGTATCAGGATCACTAAAACGCACACAATTCTATATAGTGGGAAGGAACAAGGAAGCAAAGAATGTGGCATTTGTGGTGGATAATGATTTTAAGTTAAAAATCATAGAATTCCAGGCAATTCCAGGAAAATGAAAATGGGTGATATGAATGGTAAAATGGACAACAGGAAAATACCCACTGCACAATGAAACAAGCGAGAATGGAGAGTTTTTGATAAATTTTGCCACTAGTAAAAACATACTTACCACAGAAAGACATACACAAAATGACATGGATTTCACCAGATGGAACCATAACCAATCAAATCGACCATGTACTGATAGACAAAAGAGCAGAAAGGCAAGCTGTGGATCACACCAGCTTTTACTCCAAACCAAATTTAGATGCAAAGTTTACAAAGAAAGAAACCAAAGACACCAAAGAACAAACAAGCTGGACCTGGAAAAATTGATGATTCAGGAATGTAAAGAGAATGTCCTGAATTGAAGAGTATGAAACGGGCTTCCGACGGTGAAGATCGAAAGTGTCGATCATCGATATTTACAGTCAAATAGATCTTGAGTACATCATGGGAACATAACGTTGATAAACGTTAAAACGTGTTTGTAGACTGACAGATATACGACTCAGTCAAAAGGAACAAGCTCTACATTCTTCTAATATATTGGCTGAATTGGCAATACCACACAAGCTAATTAGACTCATTAAAGCCACAATGGATGAAATTCAGGCATGTGTACGAATACAAAACCACCGGACAGAGTTTTTTAAAGTTTCGCAGGGACTAAAGCAGGAACATGGGCTGGCCGCAATTTTATTTAACCTGGCATTGGAGTATGCGGTTAGTAAAATGCAAACTGGACGAGGAAACCTACTGACCAACCAAACGGTTCAACTGGCCACTAATGCCAATGATATTAATATTATGAGGAGGAGCACAGGAAACATAAAGTTAAAAACGCAAACAAAAAGGCTTGGTCTGGAAATTACCACAGAAAAAAAAAACAAAAATAATGATATAGACGAGAAGAAATATAGTCCCACAAAACATTATATATGAAGATGAGATTGAAACGGTTGGAAAATTTACATACCTGGGAGTAGAAATATATTCCGACGAATCAGAAGATGGAGAAATATGGAAGAGAATAAAGCAGGCAAACAGAGCTTATTTTGCTTACATATTTCGGTCTAAAAATGCCCACCGAAATAAAAAATGAGAATCTAAAAAACCTTAATTCGACCAATAGCATGCTATGGAAGTGAAGCATGGGTCCTGAAAGAAACATCCAAAAGCACACTCGAAACATTCGAAAGGAAATAACTGAGAAGAATACTAGCACTTGTGAAGGAAAACGGAATCTTCAGAAGTCGATGCAACAACGAGCTTTATCCACTTTATAAGGAAACACCACTGTCAGATTTCATTAGAATACAAAGATTGCAATGGACCGGACATGTGATAAGAATGGGAGAGGATAGGCTAGCAAAAAGAGCATTGAATGCTAGAATGCAAGGAAAGAGACCGGTTGGAAAGCCAAGAAAGCGCTGATAAGACACAGTAAACACTTTTAGGAGCTGATAAGACGTACAAGCCCTTTTAGGATCCCGTGTATGGAGAAGATAGCCATAGAAAAGCAAGGGTGGAGGCAAAAAAAAATAAAGGAGGTCAAGATTCAATTTTGGCTGTAGTGCCGTAGAAGAAGAAGATATTAGGTGCCACTGGTTGGTCTGTAAGCACAATGCGGTCTGAGTATAGCTAGTTGTCATTTTCAAGCATTTTGTCAGGGACGCTTTGATAATATGGTCGGTTTGAAGAAGTCAAAGTTTGTCAGTAGTTCTTGGTGGATAATGTTTCCTACTCTCACGGCGTTCTTTATAATCAGTACCGACAAACGCCTGGCAGCCCTCGGTAAGATGCTGCATGGTTTCTTGGGCTTGGCATCCCTATCGGCATTTATTATTTTGGACTTGAGGATCTTTAACAATATATTTCAGATAATTTTTGTAGGAATAATTCAGAAGAAAACCCTCAGTCTCGAGACACATCTTTCCTAATGTCAACCAATAGTTCGACTATACTATAAACACTATATTGTCGACATATTCTTGGCTGATCTCATTGAGATGTCGCCATGTCCAGGTTTACTGATCCAGGTGCGCATTTTTCTTGCTTAGTCAGGTGGTTTATGTGCATTTCTTTTTCGCTTAGTTTAAGCGGCCTTGTAGTAAAAATTACATATGTTTTAGGTGTTTTTGTTTATGATTCTTATTTTTATTATTAACTATCATCATTCATCATCATTCCTCAACCTCTTGCATCCACTGTTGGATATAGGTCTCCTCCATGTTCTTCCACTGTTCTCTATCTTGCGCCTTCTGTATCCAATTTCCGACTGTTTTTCTCAAGTCGTCCATCCATCTTTTTGGTGGTCTTCCTCGGTGTCTTTTGTCTTCTCTAGGTCTTCATTCTATGACTCTTTAGGTCCACCTATTATCATTTAAACGTGCTATATCTCCAGCCCATCTCCATTTGGCTTGTGCAATTTTTTCTATGACATCTGTCACTTTAGTCCTCTCTCTCACTATTCTATTTGGTACCATATCTCTTCTAGTTATTCCCAACATTGCTCTTTCCATTTTTCTTTGGGTTACTCTCAATTTATTTGCAGAATGTTTGGTTAAAGTTATTGTTTCGGAACCATATTTTATTACTGGCAGTATGCATTGATTGTAAACCTTTTTCTTCAAGCAAATCGGTAGCGTTCCTTTTAGAATATCTCGCATCTTGCCAAATGCTGCCCATCCCAAGCCTATGTGACGCTGGATCTCACAAGTTTGATTGTATTTTCCTATTCTAATTTCATTCCCTAAATAGATATAGCTAAAGACCTGATGTACTTCGTTCCCATCTACCCTCATAACATCACTTGGAACTAAATTGGTCATGTATTTTGTTTTTTCAAAGTTTATGTTTAGGCCTATTTGTTCTATGCCTGTTTTAGTTCTTCCATCATTTTGCGAGCTTCATTTAAACTCTCGGCTATAATGACAATATCATCTGCAAAGCGCAAGTGGCTTAAGTATTCACCATCAATGTTTATTCCCCTTTTAGCCCAATCTAGTTTTTTAAAGGCATATTCCAGAGCTGCAGTGAATAGTTGGGGGGAGATGGTGTCGCCCTGTCTAATTCCTCGCTCAATTCTATATTTATCGGTAAAGTCATGGAGTTTAACAGATGCTGTTGC